AGGATTTTTAAAGGTTGTAACGTGGCCATGGTTCATGGTTTAATAAAAAAAAGATATAAGGCTCAAAATTTATTTATCCCTCCCCAACATCCTTGACATTCTTCAATCCTATGTCCAATTAATCCAACAAATGCATTTAATCCCCAAGAGAAAGTTCGTAGTCATGCAGATGATGAGAAACGTAGATAAAGATCCAAGCGCCGATGAAAAGATTTGACAAGATGCAAGCGCTGATAAGATTCAAACACCCATGAAAAAGATTTGATAAGATCCAAGCATTGATAATATCCAAGCGTTGATAAGATCCAAGCGTTGATGAGAAGCCTTGTTGATTCTTGAGGTGGCAGTCACAAGATTATTTTCCAATTTATTATTTTCAGTCCCTTATTTTTGCATGGACCAATTTTTTTTTGAATTTTTTTTTATCCATCAAGATGCCCTAACTTTTACCTCAGTCAATTTTTTATTTATGTTGACTTAGCGGGCTTTCACTTTTTTTTTTGAATTTCTTTTTTTTTTGCTTTTGATTTTGACAATTTGTAACTTCCATGTTGATTGTTATATGCTTCGTCTTCATCGCTTCCTCGATCTTGATTGATGCACTGGGGAGAAAGATATTGTGATCTTTGTCTTAGTTGATTCCTCAATCCTGGATGATGAATGCGAGGAAGATGATGTGCTCGATTCTTTGCTTAGATCGTTCTCTCGATGATGTATCGAGGAAAGATATATGCTTGAACCTATGCTTAGATCGTTTCGATTCTCCTGTGATTTGAATGCATCATCAAATTAATTGAAGTCTACCCTGCCATTGGTTAAGATTACAGTTTTTTAGAGAATAGAAAGAACTCCGACTTCTGGCTCGAGGGGGTTAACTACAGATTAACTCCTTATATCTCCACTGTTTAGGAAGTGAAACAATGCCTTACATCGTTAGCTAAGCCTTATTGTTAAAAAGCATACGTCATCAAAATTCGATAATTTTGTATTTTCATCATTCTCCATCGAAGTTTTTTGAAGTGAAAAATGGAAAAAGAAGATAAGAATAGAAAGTCGTTGATTATTTGTGGAATGAATCGATTTCAAAAACATGCATGCTTATTTTATTAGAATTACTTGACCAAAGAGTACAAAGTTTATGACAAATAACACTTAGCAAGAAAAAAATTACAATTTGAAATGATTAAAACCTAATGATCTAGAGATAAGCCTTCTTGTTGATCCATTGACTTTAGGAGATGCTTCTAGTTTTTGGACTTGTCAGATCATGGGGATGAACCTTGACTTTTCATGGGAATACTTATTTCGTTGATAAGACAATTGCTCTTGATGTAGAGGAATCACTAATGGTAGGGGCATTTGAGGCGATGTGTAGGCATGTAGTTTGTCATGGTGAAGGGTGGCCTTATCTCTCCAATAAGACTTGTAAGACCAAGCTCCATTGAGTCTCTAGTATATAATCTCCTTCTTCCACAATTTCAAATTTTCTTAAGTTCATTTATGAGTACCGAGAAATCAGATAGCATATGGATAATAAAGGCGAAGGTGGAAATACATGAGATGAAAACGTATGAGTGTATGTAAATGCATGGGTATGCAAAAATATTTTTGGCTTTAAGGGTATGCTAAAAATTTCATGGAAATGCAATGCGACGTGGACGTAATATGAAGGTAAACATGAGGGTACCATATACAAGTTTAATGATGGAAATGATGATATCCTACACTATCTGAGAGATCGAGACATGAAGGGACTCTTTAAGGACGAAAGTGATAATAGGCATAGATTTGATGATGTCCTACATTATCTCAGAGATTGAGACACGTAGGAATTTTTTGAGGATTATGGCCTAATGAAAGACGATGAGAAGTCCCTACAGGACATGGATGATGATAAAGATGGAAGCCCTACGGGCTAGAAATAGTAGTGAATGAAGGGATAACCCTTGCGGGTTTGCAGATTGTAGTGGGATTTGTGAAAGGTATCCTTATAAGGTAGGTTCTTAGTATTGGCCTACGAATATTCGACCCTCCCCATAAGGTGGCTTCCTTAAGGGTATCATGAATGACACTAGAGGGAAAGGCACAAAGGCCTCCCTTAAGCGGAGTCTCTTTACAGATAGAAACTTTCGTCTCTAGGTCATGAAAGGTCTCATCATGAATTTTTGGTTTAAAGGTCGTACAAAGAGTCATAAGTATTATTTCAAAGTCCTACTTCCCAAGAGGATGTCTCTCAAGAGGTATTCCTTTTCTAGAACTCCACCGACTCTAGGCGAAGTCGTCACATAAACTCATAGGGTTGATGTAACCCCTTGGCTAATAGACAAACCTTCTTTCGAAGGTTTTTTGAGAATAAATTTGCAAAATTATAAATCCCACATCAAATATATAAACATATTTAATAATAAAAAAATAAGCAAGAAAATAAATAAATAATTAAACAAGAAATAATAAAATCCAAAAGAAATAAGAAAAACCCTAAAAACCCTAAAGTCGAAAGATAAGGCTTCTAAACCTAGGGTTGAGTCCCCAGCTGTTGCAACTGGTTTTTAAATTAGAGTCGCCACCATTAATTTTTATCCTAAAGGAATGGAGTATAAAGGAATAACCCTAAAATTCAGAGATTCTAGATTTGGACTCGGTTCTACACATAGGGAAGGTGTTAGGCACCCCTTGTCTACCTTATTCACAAGGATACTATGTTTAGAAGCGCGATGTTTAGAAAATAGGGTTCTTAATTATTATTGGGGAAAAAGGGTTTGAATTTTACTTAGGGGAAAAGGGGTTGAGTTTTAGTTAGCGGGACTCGGCACGACTTTAATCGTATGCCTACGCATCCTCTTAGGGGGGAATCAGACTCCCATTTTGTAGTTCGCGGGGTTGTTTGTGTTTTTTATTGATCGCGAAATATATTTGAATTTCCCGCATACGTGGTCTAAGAGTATGAATAGCAGAGTTTGTTAGACTAAGTACGCAGTTAATTTAAATATATTTGCGTTCCTTTTCGAAAATTAATTGTTTAAATTAATTGAATTTGCGAAAAAATATTTGGTGTTTGGTTGAATATTTTTTATACGTAGAGCGAGGGAGTCTGATATAGTCTCCACATCACATTGCCAGATATTGGCCACATGTTACTCTCGGATGTAGTAATTTGTTAGTGGCGTTGGTTTTAATATTTTGATGTAAAATATTAAATTTGAAAAATTATAAAGTTTGATTTTATGCAAAACAATTATTTATAAGGTTTACATTGAATTAAATATATAGAATCACATTTTGGAATTTTGCATCCTTAAATAACATAAGTTAATCAAATTTTCTAGTTACTAAAGTAAATAAATGAATTAAAAAACTCTATACTGCATGCATGTGGGGAGCACCCTATTTCATGATCTCCTACTAAAACCTTCTATCTTTTATCATTAATTTTAACAAACCTTTATACAACATTATTATTATTACTATTATTACAATTAAAATAAAAAGAGCTATATTAGGAAACAATACCCTAAAATAAAAAGAATGAGAAAGAAACGAAAACTTGTTCAGAAGAAAAGCGTTAATTCCTCTTGTTTATTTTTTGTTTCTTTATTCTAAAATCCTCTTTCGTCGATTCAGAGCTTTGTCTTGATTCGATTCTAATCCCCTTTCTTTGTTTTCTCTCATTTTCGCAGGTGACGGAGGATGGTGAGGACTGTGAAAGCGGCGATGGAGGTCGAAGCAACGACAACTGCAACTGATTTAGGATTTCGGATCTTGAAACCCAAATCTCGAACAAGGTAATGAACGACAATGTGACCTTCAGTAAATAATCCCAATTATTAGTCTTTTTTATTGCAACAATTTCTCTTTTTCTTACTGTAATTCCTCTTTTTTCCCTCCTTTCTGTAGATTAGGCTTTTATAGATTTTTTTATAGAAATTGCAAATTAGGAAGGAGTCAAGTTTGTCTTGTAAATTTGAATTCGTAGTAATTATGTTTTTTAGTTTAGGAAATTATTGAATTAGGGATTAGATAGATTAGGAAACGAGTTATGTTGTCTATTAATTTAATTGTAATTGATTTGTATTAATTGAAATCATTAGTTTGATTTTATTTCTATGAATGTTTTGTATTGATTGAGTCCTAAATGTAGATGTTTGTTGCTGTTTTTGTTGATTTTGTTTATGTAATTGGTTCTTTGCATTAGTAAAAAAACCGTTCTGAAAATGCCAAGATATTGGTTTGATGAAACAATATATGTTCATTTAACGCACGCGTTTTTTCTGATTAAATTTGCATAATACTTGTTTCTATTTTGGACAAGCAATCTCTGGATTTGGACTTGAAAATGTGTTAGACCCTCTTGACTACACACTTGGGCTTTGAAAGATCCACGTAAAAAAAACTTTCTTATTAACACTTAAAAAAAAACTAAAACACAATTTTCTTCTTTTTTATTAAGTTCTAAAAACTAATCAACAATAATAATTAATAATTATAAGATAAAAATCATGTTAAAATAAAGACAATTTTTTTTTAAAACACACAAACTGAATGGTCTGTACTGTATTTTAGTTACTGGGCCCGATAGTTTTAAAAATTTAATTCATTTGGGCCTCTAACAAAGAAACAATTATAACTCGATAGGCCAAAAAACGTTTAATTCATGTGGGCTTCTAACAAAGAAACATATTGCTTTTATACATCCCTTTTTTCAAATATTCCAAAACCTAGATGGGCCTTATTGAAAAAATAATTTGTTCATACCTCCTTGGTTAAACAATACACCTCCCTTTGTTTGAAATGGACTATTATTAAAGCCTAATGGGCCATCAGATATTTATGGTCCATTTTACATCTATACACCCATTTTCATATCTTACTCCCCCCTGGAAACAAGAATTAAATAATGTGACCTATTCAAAAAGAAAAATAAATATAAATATAAGGGTAGGGAAATTTTGGGGTATGAAACTTCCCAAGATCCCACGCCACACCTGCTACAAGAGAGTTTCCTAATTTATCACGAACACACCAACCACGATTTGAAGTCCCACAATTATTGTTAAACCTGCATCTACATTGCACTTATTCCACCCAGAAGATGGTGGAAGCCAACACATTTCATCTTGCTGCCTGGAAGCTTCACCTTCCTTCTGTTGAGATTCGAACCATTCCTGCCACTTATGAAAACCCAACCAACCAAGCTTTGACGCATCCTCCTTCTCATTGTTCGAGATAAATTTATTTCTATTTTTCCACATAATATCCATCATCACAGCAACTCTATCGGCAGTATTTCTATCGTCTTTGTTAAAAATATCAACAATAATCGACTTTACATCTTGAAAATAATATAGACGGTGATCAATAACATTATTTAATCCTTCTTCCCGCCAACATTAATTTGTGTCAAAATAGCTAAAGAAAAAATGCCAAGAATCTTCCCAATTATTATCGCAAAAAGGACACTCACCCAGACACTGAACATGATGTTGTCGAAGTCAAACTCGAGATGGAAGACACTCGTGACAAATTCTCCATAAAATATGCTTCACTCTTGCGGGAGCTTTAATGTTCCAAATGTATGTCCATTTTATCGGCACATCCGAATGAAGAATTTTTTTTCCGCACATTCCTTCAAACTCTGTACCCCGATCACACACTATAGCAACCATTTTGCTCCTATTTCCAAACCAACAAATATTCTATTACTTCGTCCACTAACGAAACCTGGATAATATTTTCAATCATGTATAATAAAAAATAGTCGTTAGCAAAAAGAGTTTTCACCTCCGATACATTGGCCCTGCAAAATAAAAAAGTCGTTAGCAAAAAGCAGATTGGACACACTAGGTGCGCCTCTGCAAATCTAAATCCCATGAATGTCACCCCTTTTCACCTATTATTTAATAATTTATTATTAAAAAAATTTCTAAATAATTTATTATCTAAATCACATAATACACTAGTATTGCTCCAACAAAATACTATAACAGATTAATCAAACTAACATATTAAACATTTGGTACACAAAATATCAACCACCCCATACTCTAAACACAAGATAATTACCAAGCATCTGCAACTCAATACTTGATTCTAAAACATGTCCCAGCGTCAACCTAACATAAATCTAAACAATATCTCATCTCCACTCAAAATTCAATAGCATCATCACCTAAGTCGTTCAATATTCGGAACTTCTTAACAGTTGTAATTAAAAAAGCAACTCCTAAACAAAATAGATTATGACATTCAATGCAATTGGTAGTCAAGACTCGATAAGGTTAAACATGTATGTGAAATCTTGACATAGTAATTTAAATCAAATAAATTGTAACAACATAGAACCTTTTGCACAAAGAACTCCTCCAAGGAATATAAGGGAACTTGCTGGGTCAGAAATGATACTCATATTCTTCTACTATGCAAGATCACCCCATAAAGACACAACAATGGTCTTCTTGATGCAATGTCAAGCAGTGTTATTTTAGTTAGTATTACAGGATAACAAAATGCAAAGCACTGTAAATAAGAAATAAAGTCCATTATATAATTTTAAAGTCACATAACCTATTGTGATCTCTTTAACCTCCTGCATAAATGCGTCCAAGAACTCAAAGAATGGATCAAACCATCTTCCATCTAAACCAACTCTACATATTTTAGGGTTAAAACGAAATCAAGGTTAATGAAGCAAAAATTCGATCAAGGTTAATAAAAAGCGGTTTGGTTCCTCAGCAAAGATCTGAGAAGAAAGCAACACAAGAAAAGACAACAAAAAACCGAAAATCAAAATAATATGCTTTGATATCGACATGCGACCTTGTCTGTTAATCCTTTCAGTATCATCAATGAGAGAAGGAGATATGTTCACTAGTGGGAACATTTTTCCTTACAGATTTCTTCCGATATAGGATATGCTTAAAACAATCCAGAAATAGCTTCCAAACCCATACCCGCCTTAAGTTCTTCACCACAAAGGGAGATCTAAAATCCAGCATATTATAAGATGAATCGGAAGTAAACAAATAATGGAGGTAGAGGAAGATAAGAAGTAAATAAATAATGGAGGTATAGGAAGATAAGAAGTAGAAAATAAGAAGTAAAGAATGTTGGAAGAGAAAGATAAAGATAGTAGAAGAGAGAGATGAAACCTCAAAATGGGGAGATGGAGAAACCGAAGAGAGAAATGGAAAAAAAAAGTTGAAATCGAAAAATTGTTCACCTTTGATGGAAAAGTCTGAAGATTGAAAATTAGACATAGGGAATGAAAACTTATGCCAGAATATGATAAGACTCGTAGTTACTTTTGATGCATAAAGCAAACCATAAGATGTAAAAGTTAAAAAAAGGTTATTGTTTTACGGTGGCAGAATCGACTGTTTAATATACTGGTTTGCGTTTCGTATTTGCAAATGTCACGGTAAGCAAGAGTCGCCACCTTCTTTTCTTTTATCCAACAAAGGAAAGGGTGAAAAGAATAGAAAAAGACCTTTTCGAGATGTTTTCTGAGTAAGGGGGTAGATTATTGAAAGGGAAGGTGTTAGCACCCTTTCCATCTGTGGTTTTCCACGGGCTCCTAGAGGTTTGCTCATTTTTCAAAATGCTTTTGTGCTTTGTGTTTGAAAATGTTTAGCAAGATGCCTTAGTACGGCGATTTTCTTTGTGTTTAACTCTTGTATGGGTCCTCAAGAATGTTAACAAAGCAAATGTTTTGAAATTGTTTTTGAAAAGTGGTTTTCTGTGTAATTTCAAAAAAGTATTTTTGAGCAAACTTCTAACAGTTATCTGCTTTATCACTCGAAAAGGATCATTATTTTCATCTTTTCCTTTAGATAGTGCTATCCTACTTTTAGTGAGTAGGTAGCCTTGTCGTTGAATGTTTTGAGGGACAATCGAAGGGATGTTACATTCACGAAGGCAATTATGGAGATGCTTTAGCAATTCGGTTTTTTAGGGACTAGATCATTTACCGATAAGGCAACTATAGGGTCATCGAGGGACTATGATCTTTTGATTTTTACGGGTCTTTTCTAAAGCATTCCTACCTCATGACTGTTTTTTAAAGGCAACCAAAGTGGGCGTATCTTAGAGGTGTATATGTGCCAGTATGTTGTGTTTCAATTATTTTATCTTTAAACATTTAGGTGTTCTACTGTTTGTTTTCAGATTTTTGCCATGCATGTCTAATTATTAGCAGTTAATATAAAAAGTAGTAAAAAGAAAGTGCGGAAAATAGAGGTCTTACGCTATTACAATGCTTCGGGGAGGGGGTTTACATTATACAAGGATAATGGGGGAATAAAAGCAATAAAAATCTTAATTTATCTATTACATCCGGTAGGAAGATAAAATGATAATAATAATACAAAAATTAAATGAACACGCGCAAAGTAAAAGAAAATCTTTTGTTATATATTTGTTTTGTATAAAAGAAAATAAGACCTAAGTCTATTTAATTTTAATTTTAATAAAAAAAGATGTTAAAATAATTAACTAACTTATTTACAAAAATTAATTTAATTGGAAAAAACAACTAGCCTAATATTTTTGTGATTTTTATTTCAATGTTAATTAAAAAGAAGTCAATGAAAACAAAAATAAAATGCAAGAGGGATCCTTCGATTCAAGGGGAAAAAGGAGCTTCGACCCAGGGAGGGAATGAAAGCTTCGATCCAGAGAGGGCCATGGTCGTTTCGATTGGGCCAGGAAGTGGGCATGAATAGTCTTCGATCCAGGGAATGGGATTGCCCTTCGATCCTGGGAAAGATGCCTTCTTTCGATTCAAGAAGGAAGTTCCTCCTTCGGTTCAGCAGGTTAATAGGCATCTTCGATCCAGAGAAGGTGTCTCCTTCGATCTGGGATGCTATACCTGCAAAAATATGTTTAGCGAAATAAAATGTAGGGCCTGGGTATCGAACCCCAGGCCCTTCGATCATGCGCTTGCTGGGTCTCTTCAGGCTATGTCTACAGCAAATGTTAGCAAACGAAGAACATGACCTGGGTGCCAAACCCAGGCCTTTTGATCCTGTCTAGGATGGAAAATCGTAAGTAACAACTAGTAATGATGCATTATGCAAATGCAAAGTTGGATAGTTTACCATTTCTTACCAGTAGATTGAGTCTTCGATTTGGGGTGCTTGCTGGAGGTGAGCACCTTCGATCTGGAGCTTTTGGACGTGGCTGCTGCTTGGTAAATTCTGGAAACTTTTGATGGATTTTGTGGGCAGCCTCTCTCCAAGGTTTTTTCGTTCTCCACCCCTTTAGACACCACTTGTGATCTCTTTATATAAAGGGGGTAGAGGGGACAAGAAGGAAAGGGTTTAAATAACCTTGGTTGTGTTTGAAAGTCATGAATAGGATTTTGTAACGTTGGCCAAATACATGGGATCTTGTCCATTTTGAATTTTCTATTGTGTAACTGACCTTCGAATGCTCTCGTTCGATTGGGCTGCTATCCTCCTTCGAATGGGTCTTCTGAATGCATCTTCGAATGGAATTCTTATGCAAACTTCGAATGGGCCTTCTGAAGACTTCTTCGAATGAACCTCTTATGCATGCTTCGAATGGGCCTTCTGAAGACTTCTTCGAATGAACCTCTTATGCATGCTTCGAATGGGTCCTCTGAAGGCTTCCTCGAATGGACCTTTTGGAATTCCAATCGAAGTTCTTCGCCATACCAATCGAAGGGCTTAGTTATCATGCTTGTCGAAGCTGTCTTTGTTTGAAATTCTAAATTGAAGGATTCTTTACCATGCCAACTGAAGGGCTTGGCCATGAGGCCAATCGAAAGCTTATTTTGGAATTCCAATCGAAAGGCATGGCCATAATGCCAATCGAAAGGCTTGGACATGAGGCCAATCGATAGGCCTTATTCAGGTGCCAATCGAAAAGACATTGTTAAGATGCCAATCGAAAGACACCTTATCGAAGGACACTTTGACCAACTTCTAAATTTTTTATTTTTTCTTCAAGCAAGTGTCTGTATCCACCCATGTGAGAGAAGATCTTGTAAAAAGTGAGAGGGAAAATTTTTGGGTACAACAACTGCCCCTGTTCAATCTTCTTAAACCTGAAGATGTAGATTGGTTGTCTGCCTTTCGTGATCTAAAGGTGGAAGATGATTGAACACTAGAGTGCCCAGAAATTTTCACTCGTCTGAAGTGATACTGCTGGTGAATAATATTGGGAATTGGCTTACATATGCCATTTGGAATAGGTGACAGGAGACTGTCGGAGATGGGCTTAAAGATGCCATCCAGAAGAC